GATGTATCCAACCACCTCATGCAGAGCTGTATCCACTGATCTGCCCTTGATATAGGCATGTTGGGATTTACTAAGTTTATTACGGTCAATGGTATCTCTAATTTCTGAGTCTAGTAACCTTTCTAAAGTTTTTAGTAGAAAGGAAGAAAGACTAATCGGTCTATAGTCTTTAGGTACCGTATGACTCGGCTTCGCGGCTTTCGGGATGAAGGTCACGGTAACCTCTTTCCATAGACTGGGTATGTACGACAAAAGTAAACAAGCCCTAAAAATGTCCTGCAGATATGATATTATCCGTTCATCTGCGTGTTGCAGCATGGCCGGTGTTATACCATCTGGACCAGGAGATTTGTAGGGTTGAAAACTATTTATCGCCCATATCATTTTTGGGTATCTTATAGTGTCTTCTATCATCTTCTCCTCTTCCCTCGTCCGAACTGTAGGCTGATGCACACACTGCGCATCTTCCCTATAGTCCTTACAACCAGGAAAGTGGGTTGATGATAGAAGATCAAGAGTCTCACTGCCAGAGTTTGTCCACGTTCCATCACTTCGCTTAATACTTCCTATGGATTTTGGATCCTTAGAGAGTACTCTGCGGAATCTGGCCGCTTCGTTGACTCCTTCGATCGACTCGCTATAGCAGACCCAAGACTCACGTTTAGCTTTATTGATTTCGCCCTTGTACCTATTGAATTGTCTTTTATAGACATCCCAATCTGTACTGAGCTTTGTCTTACTAGCTCTATTATAAGCTTTCCTTGCAGCCTTCCGCAAGGTTGCAAGGTCCTGTGACCACCATACCGGCAGAGATTTCTTCCCAGGGTATGTTAGGGGACAAGATGCCTCATAGCTCTTCAGAAGAGTGGCCGTGACATTTTTCACAGCTAATTCAACATCCTCAACCGTTTTGAGATCATTACGATCCCGAAAAGAGGCTGCTGTTTTAGCTTTGAATTTGTCCCAGTTCGTCTTCCGAGGATTCCTATAAGGTTTCTGTTTAACTCTAGAGGTAGGAATCTGGAAGGATATGAGTCTATGATCCGAAAAGGAACATTTCTCAGACACCTCCCAGTTTACGACCCCAGAGTCGTCCATATTTGTGAGGGTTATATCGATGACTTCCCCTCTCACCCTATTTACAAAAGTTGGTGTATTGCCTCTATTACAAATTCTAAGATTATAGCTAAGTATAAACTCGAAGATGGACTCACCTCTTGTGTTTGTGTTGCTGCTTCCCCAATAGAAGTGATGTGCGTTGGCGTCACATCCCAAGATGATGTCACCAACTCTGCTCATCTCCTCCAATAGGCGGCATACAACAGTGCCGGGTGGGTCAGGAGCTTCGTAGGGAAGATAGACGGCAGAGACTATCAGTGGCTTCGTGGTACCTCTGTCTAGTCTTGCTGTCGTCATATCTCCATTGCTGAAATTAGAAAGAAGCATTAAATGTTAACTCCTTTTTAGCAAGAATACACGTTCTCACCTTCTCTCCATTGGAGGTAGACAAAACCGTGTATTTGGTGTCGCCCAGTCCAGTCACCTTACCTTTGTACAGGTAAGGTTCCTGGATGAGCGCCACGTCGATGTTTGAGGAAGAAAGGGTGAGTAGCAGTTCAGCAGCTGCTGCTTTACAGTGATGCAGATTAATCTGGATCACGTTAAGCGCTTGCTGCTGCCTATTGTTTTGGAGTGGTGAGGCGGAAACAAAGTTTCCCCATTCCATAAACAAGCTCACCCTTGTTCTTCCTCAAGTACTCCTCTCCCGCAGAGTCGGTAGCGAACTTCGCGACTACACCGCCGTTCCTTTCAAACGAGGCGAGGATTCTCCACCTCCTCGTCTGAAGGCCGTCGTTCTGCTTCTCTCCAATAACCTCAGTGTCTTCTCCAGCCCCTTGAAAGGTTTTGGGATAAACACCGAGGTTACCATACCGCTCGGTATCTCTCGAACCGCTACGGCCGCCAGACGACCACCCTCCCAAAGGGGGTCCAGGCTGTTGATTGTCTTCTTAAGAAAATCTGAAGTCTTCTTAGTGCGACAATCAACAACCTTTACTCCTTTGTAAGAGGAGGTCAGGCCAAACCGCAGGCTCTCTCGATCAACCTCGTCGGACAGGAAGAGGTCCTTCAGATAGCTGTCGACCAGCTCCCATCTATCCTCACTGATAAACCCGTCAGGGTCAGCTCGGTCGATGATTGCTACCCGCAGATCTTCCGGAACCTCTTTCGGATCAGCAGAGTCGCTTTGCTCAGTTGTAGGTGTCTGGGCTACCTGCTTCGAGACAGCGTGTTTGGTTTTCACCCCACAATCGCTGCTCTTGGCAGGTTTCTCCTTCGACGCTACCACCGAAGCAAAGGAAGCAGAGCTCTGTACGGCCGACGAGTGCGTGGGCCTCTTTGCAGCAGGTTGTTGCTCCTCCGAGGACCTCATTCTCTTGACAGCCGTGGGCTGTGGCCGAGATTTGGCACCCGGGGTAGCAGCTGCTGCAGAGGTATGCCCAGCAGACGCAGGCACCTGCTTCGCGTCCGCTACCTTCTGCTTGACCACTGACGACTGCCCAATTGTCACCGCCTTGGCTGTCAGCTTTGGCAATTCGGCAGAAGGTGGATTGACAGACAAATATATATATATATATATATATATGTATATTTGTTAGTTTTTAAGTGACCACTGTTCTATAACAGAAACAATCAAATCAATCCTACAACATGAAAAACAAATATGCATTGAGTTTATTCCTCTGTATGATTGTTATATAATAGACAGTCAATAGTTGGTATGTAAATTATATATATATATAAATACTTGTTTATGTTTCATTTTAACCAAATTATTCCCAAAAAGGAAGATCAACTACTCTTAAACAAAAAATACAAATAAAAATCAAATGTTAATAATTGGTAATTTAGAAAAGAGAAAATTGAAGCGCTATGAATTAATTGAACTATTATTGATTGACGATCATGCAGACAAATGTTTTCGAATTTCTATTATTTGAAATTAAATGTAATTGAAAAAAACAAACATCATCATGTATGTATAACGTTTTATTCTTATGTTCAATTCAGTAGTTCATAAATACTAATGCTTATGTTTTTATGTAATATTTGAAAACCAACAAAATAAACAGCCCTAAATCCGGAATTTTCTATTGTATGTAGAGCACATTTACAGCCTAGCCTAGTTCATGTAAATGAACTATTATTAAACCACATGTATGGTCTGTTCCAGTCCCTTTTAATAGTAAAGCTAGTAAAACGGCATGTACATTAGAAGTTTTTGCAGGGTTAACCTACTTTATGAGGATTTATTTTACAAATATACAATGGAATTGGCACTTCATGGTACGTTTACATTGTTCCGGATTTAGTTAATTCAGTGGGTTTCAATTGTCAATTCCATTGTATATTTGTCAAATAAATCCTCATAAAGTAGTTTAACCCTGCAAAAAGTTCTAATGTAAATGCCGTTTTAAACACACTGGGTTAACTTAATCCTGTAAAGTGTAAACGTACCATGAAAGGGAAACATTTCAAAATTGCTCTCAGAGTACAAAATAATTTGAAAAGTAAATCTAGTAAATATGCCAACATTAGATGGCAATACTTCAAAATCAACATAACAGCCAATCAGAAGTAGGCATTCCTGTTTACCATTTTTACTCGGCCAAATTTCTCGAGTAAAAAGTTTACAAAGAGAACGCCCTTTTTCTGCTTTCTTAAATTTGATTCAATGTTTTACCAGTTTTGTGGGTTGAGGAACGGTTTTCGAGTAAAAAGTTACAAAATTTTTAGATTCTTTTGGGTTCTGGAACGGAACTTTAATTTTAAAACATGATGCAATAATAAGGTGATGTGTCAAAACAAAAACCTTTGTTTTTTTCTCGACCATCTGTCAAATTGTTCCTTATAATATTTCAAATTGTTGGCAACACTGTACATCGAATTCAAGTAGAAATTAGGCACTTTGACAGTTAATCGAGACATCAGCTGCTCTAAATTGACTACCTATTTATTGTGCCATGTTTTAAAATTACCATACCATGATTTAGTCAGCAACTCCATGTGTGAAGCCTCCTTATAAAAAGTGGCAACTACACCACACATGTGACAGCTGAGAGAGAGAGAGAGAAATTGAGATTGACATCTAATGTCAAAACAGCTGTAGATTGTGAGACGAAAAAAAAGAAAAACAATAACACAAACGCAATAACAACAAACTATAATCAATTTATTAGAAATGCAACGTATTAACAAGTGAATTGACTGGCTATTCTACGCACAATTTCATAGTTAAAAATAATTCGTACGAGATTAAACAAAACAACAAAATACCATGTGGAAATTATAAACGGGATATTTGCTACAAATAAATATGAGAAGAAGAAATTGAAACAGATAACTAATACAAATGATAAACAAAAATTATTGTTGTGTGAAAATTGAAAAATTGAAGTGGTCATCGGAAGCAGTAGCAGCAGCAGCAGTTTGTGGTGATACCAACAAACAAACAAATAGAAGAAAAAGCAATTGGTATGACATTCTTTTTATATATTTTTGTATACTAGATAAAATATATATTTTTAATAATTTTTCAATGGTTGTTTTTTTTTGCAGCTACATTTTATACGTGTGTTAAGAGGTTGATGGCCATTTCTATGGAATACGCGCCCGCACTACCCCTCTAATATCGCGTTATTTTGGATTCTATTGTTTTGTTTGCCATTCACAAGCGTCATGATCGGATCACTTTCATGTCGTTGTTGTTGATCACAGAGACATAATATCAACTCTATAGAAAATAACCCACAAAATCCACTGCAATCAAATTTATATTTTCTGCTTGACATTTTGCATAACTTTTTTATTTTGTTTAATACTTTGTCAAATGATTTAGTCATAAACACAAACACACAGATATATGTACATTGCTTTCAACGACAACAATTGGCTCCGTCTTCTGGTATATATGAAGAATACAACAAATTACACATGAAAATATGGATCCCCAGAAAATTTCTGAATTGGCTAAACTCTTAAGGAATAATGGCGACAAAATCTTAAGTTGTGAATCTACATTAACATTATCAGGTAATTTTAATTTATAAAAATTAAAACTGAAATTTGAGTCCATAACATGTTCTCTTTTGGTTTACATTTTGTTGGTGTATGTTCGTGTGTCACTCAACCAATAATATTATGATCATAGAATTAATTTTCTTATCATCATTTAGTTTACATTCAATTGACTGGATTGTGAAAATGGAACTAGGCATTTTGTTTGTTTATTTGTATAAATGTCTTGGTATTTATTGGGATGCTATTTTGTGTATATTGAGATTCTAAATTCGAACAACAATCGAATGAGTAACAGGTGTACATATGTACATATAAATAAATGTGTAAACAAAACATTTACAATTAACCAACAAAAAGATATGGGAACAAATGCTAATTTGTTAGTATTACAATATAGGGAACGACCAAGGTCCGAGGAGTAGTTAAATACTGAAGATAAATTTCTGTAATTACTTATAATTTTACTTTAAAGTTTTTGTAAGGTAATTCAGAGTAGTTCTTATTCAAATTATTTTTATCTATTACTTTTAATGAATATTATGGAGCTTGAACATATGTTACATGAACAGAAATACTATTGTTTAAAATTTATATTTTTAATTTGGTCTAAGTTTATTTTATAGTATACTGGTCATATAAGGCTTTTTTGGCTTGGCTTTGAAATGAATAAATTAATAATAATATGAATGGTGTCTTTTCGCTTGGGACCTTTCTCAGACGTTTGACTAGGGTCATTTCGGATTTGAGCTACTGAGAGCTACTGTTGAGGATTGAACCCATTTAAGGATTATCGGTTTGAATGCCACATGCATTTGTTAGCGGTCCAAATGCCATGTGAATTACAGTGGTGCGTCATAAGTGAATGGGGAGAGCTATATGTTAAAAATTTCAAACCTTACGCTCGCCACTGCTACAATTACATTGTTAAATACAACAGCCCTTCTGTCATCCTCTTTGTCCACAGAAGTGGATTTTTTAAATATAATTTTTCAAAGACTATCAAAACCCGAAGAGTGGATATTTTAAAAATTTTTCGAAGACTAGGGATTAATATTTTAAGATTATTTTTTCGAAGGCTATCAAAATCCTAGACCTGCATTTTTAAGATGAATGATGTTTGATGGACAAAAGACATTACGTCTCTGTGAAGAGACACCATTATGTAACAAAGCAAATAAATATAAACATAGAAAAGATTGGTACACTTATAGATAGTTTTTCAAAAGAAAGTGAGATTAAAAAAGCTAAGCGAGAGTCTTGGATATGTTTTAGTGCATTGACAAAGGGAGTTTATGAAGCGGCAAGGTTTCCAAAAATAATATCGAAGGTCTCAAAATCCATCAGTAGCATTAAAAAAATTATGGCTCGTTTACTCATTTTGCAGGGAGCAGAGATTGGGTACGGATTAGCAAGGCCTAAGAATCTATTCAAAACTTGTATAGGCGATTAACACATTTCAACCCTACAAATCTCCTGGACCTCATGTAATTATCGAAATACTACATACCGATTAGTCTTTCTTCCTTTCTCTTGAAAACAATAGAAAGGTTATTAGATCTTGATATCAGGAAATAACTGAAATCAAATAAAATCAGCAAATCAAAGCACACCTACATCAAAGGCAACTCTGTAGACACTGCTTTACATCTAATTGGATATATTGAAAGTAATTTAGAGAACTCAAACTTCACGTTGGTGGCTTTCTCATTAAAACGGAAATATCATAGTAGATTGGGGGCTGAAAAGCAGGATAATCAATGCATACATTGGGGTAGTTCTGGAACCATCTTTGGATGCCAAATAACTCGGCACCGTACTGGTCCACCGTTTATCATAAAAAAGTACCGTGGTGGAGCGTACAAAGAAATGTCTAATAGCCCTGTACTCTTTCAACACCTATGGACTTTCGTCAGGAGGCACTTAGGAAGAGAACGCTGTTGTCCAAAATAAGTAGTGTGCAAAGATCGGCAGCCATCCTTATATCCGTAGCTCCTAGAAGCACTCCTCTGAGCGCGATAATAAATCTCCAGCTACTGGATTTTTTAACTGGTTTTCTGGCAACCAGAAGTGCTTTTACGATGAAGGATATTGGGCATGGCGAACTTCACACTACGGACACGCAATTGTCCTGAATTTAATTCGAAATTATGAATTCTATCACAATAGAAATTCAAATGACTATATTTCCCTATACCAAGCAGAGAGTCCTGCATGGATGAGTTTCCTCCTCTCGATAGTCTGTCAATATATACGGTTCAAAGATAGAAGGAAGCCCAGAGGCGGGAGTTTTCTGTGAAGAATTTTCAATTAAGAACTCATACAAACTAAATAATAATTGTTGCGTTTTTCAATCAGAGACTTAGCAATCATTACAGCACCGGAATCAATCAAAGAACTGTTTACTAGTGACTCGGTATCGGTGACTATATTTGTTGATAGTCATGAAGCTCTTATAGCAATCAGGTGTGATTTAGTCCCTCTTGGACATGAATCATTTCTAGAAGTTGTTACTGTTGTCAGCACATAATTTTTCGGTTCAATTGTTGAGTTTTTAGTATATCCATAGCAATTTTTTCGTATCGGTTGGAATTTTTCTCTTTCCTTGCAGATTTTGTTTCCTTCCGATTTTGATTATATTTTTAAAACATTTTTGTCTTTTCTTTTTTTATAGGTTCCCTTTTACGTGCCCTCAATGATGCCTTTACTCTCATTGCCGATTCCCTGGAAGTCGGTGAAGTTCAAAATTTTCAAGTTCTCAAACCGATGAATTCAAAACCTCCCGTCTTTCGTGATCTCCAGTTGATACATGATTTTGTACAAAAAACCGCACTACTATGTCTGGTACATTATCCGGGTGATGAGTATTATGGCAAAATCGATATATCAAAATTCTGTGCCCTCAAGCGATTGGAAGTGCAGAAGATCGATATAAAACAATTGGCTGGTATCCAACGTCTGCGTGCCCAGCTGGAACATTTGATATGTATTAAAAGTATTAAGACCGTCGATGATATTATTACCCATTGTGGTGGTGATAATTCCAATGGTTTTGTATGGAATGAATTGAAAAGTGCCGATTTTAGTTATAACAACTTACAATGTGTGGACACATCGTTAGAGTTTGCTCAATATTTACAGCATCTAAATTTAAGGCATAATAAACTGCAGTCGGTGAAGGCCATTAAATGGCTACCGCACTTGAAAACTTTGGATTTAAGTTTTAATCGTCTCACGCAAATACCCCAGTTTCATATGGACGCCTGTAAACGTTTGCAATCGCTGAATATGAGCAATAATCTATTGGAAGATTTAATGGGTATTGTGAAGTTGGATGCCCTGACAGATTTAGATTTGTCGGATAACTTCCTGCTCGACCACACCTATCTGTTGCCATTAAGTGCTTTGATAACATTGAAATTTCTTAATCTCTTTGGCAATCCATTGCACTGTCATCCCAAACATCGTTTGGCCACCTGCCAGTATTTGCACAAGAATTGTTCAACAGTGAAATTTGTATTGGATTTTGAAACTCTCTCAAAAAGTGAGAAAGCCCTTACGGGTACTCACCAGCTACGGCAGGTGGGTGCTTTGAATCGTTATACCATGCGTTCATCATCGAGCTCAATATCAAGTGCACACACTCCCATACGTAGCTCAAATACACCAGCCTCTAGTGTGGGTTCATTAGTTTCCTTCAAGCTAACAACCGACAATTCTTCAGAATCCGAAGCCAACTGTAATGAAGTTCTTGTTGCTGCTAAACAAAAGAAAAAGTCTTCCAAAACAAGATGTGTTGAAATTGAAGATTTCTCACATGAATCCCAAAATAATGATGCCGCCGAGGATGCAATGCAAAGTTCAGTGATTAGTTTGGGTAAGAACAGCAAAACAATTATCCCCGAAGAGACCTGTAAGGAGCACTTGGAAACAAAACGGCAAATTGTAGAGCTAAGAGAAAAATATGGCAATGAATGGTTGCATTCGGGTAATGCAGAAATAATGAATAATTCCTCAACCAGCCAAATAATTGATATTGATATGGAGCGGCAAAAATCACGTGAAATGTTTCAGGAATATATAAAAGATGTTACGGGAGATTTTGCGGCGACAACAAATAATTTACAAGTTCCCACAACAACAACAATGACCTCAACGCCCACCAACAACACCTTGGACAATACAATGGCCCAACTGACGTTATCCCCCATTAAACCGCAGTCGGAAACAAGTGATTCATCGCTTTATAAAAGTTTAGATCAAACTCAAACATTGATCAATGACAATAATAATGGGGATGGTGATAAAAATGCTGAACAGACCTTATATAAATCATTAGATGAAAGTAAAAATGGTCGAAATCCCTTTGAAGATTCAGATAATGAAAACACAATTGCCGAAGGGAAAACAAATGATGATAAAGGAGTTGATAATGTGGAAGAAGATGATCATTTGAAATATGTCTATTCACGAATGGATAATGATGATATGGAACAATGTAAGTATTGTTATTAAACTTTTAAATTTGTCCATATACATTTTAGGAAAAAAGAAAGTGAAATTGGGGAGATTATGATCTGCATCTAAATATGTATTAGTTGATTAAAAAAAAACCAAAGGTGTATTAAGTGACACCTCAACATCGAGGAAGTTCTTCGGCGAGAGAATTCAGGCCAGATAACTTTTGAGATTCTGAAACCATGCTCTCTCGACCATCTGTTACCGACTACCTCGTCGTAGAACAAGCGGAGTTTGCCAATGAAATAGCCAATGGGTGGCTGCATAGATCTCTCAATCGGAAAATTGGACGATTGTGAGCCCCCTCGAGCAAGCTCATCGGCTATATCGTTCACTTCTATGCCACTATGTCCAGGAACCCAACGTAAGATAACTATCCGTCGTGTACAAATATATACAACAAAAACCACCACGACAGATGAGTTTACGACCCGAGTCTCACTCGACCAACGTCTGTCAATGCGATTACCGACAAAGAATTCTTTCAAATTAAGGGGAACCTCAAATTTATTCGGAAGTTATCAAGGAACTATTCGAAAAGAATTACGAGAGATTTATTGATTTAAAGGAATCCGACGTCGGGTGTAAAGATGGTTCATGTTAACCTTCCAACGAAGGACCTTCGAAGTCGGCCCTTGAATGATGCACCATCTACCATTGCATAGGAAGGTTTGAAAACACGCGTTTTTCCATTGTAGAAAATTGCGGATGCGTCTTTTTTGAACACCTGTTTCTATATGAAGTAGTTGCCAGATCGAAACAAAATTGAACATGTGTTCATAACAGATTTATACCGCGCTTTTTGTGCCAGGCTAAGAACTTTCCGAACTGCCCTCGTATTGTCAGACGCACACAAAAAAATTTCGTTGGCAGAATTTTTAGCTGTAGAATGGCTTGTGACTTTTTGTTTCGTATCTCTAGGTTATCCATTGTTCCGTACCGGCAATATTTGTTTTTTTTTATACCCTTCACCACACTGTGGTACAGGGTATTATGTCTTTGTGCATATGTTTGTAACAGGCAAAAATAATCGAGATAGACCCATGGTTCCTTTTGAGAATATGCATAGAATCACTTTCTGAGTCGATTTATGCATGTCCGTCCGTCCGTCCGTCCGTCTGTCCGTCTGTCTGTCCATGTTAAATTGTAAACAAAGTACAGGTCGCATTTATGATCCGAATTGGATGAAATTTGGCACAAGTCACTTATTTGGCCCAAGGACGAACCCTATTGAAATTGGGAAAAATCGGTTCAGATTTAGATATAGCTCCCATATATATATTTAACCGATTTAATGTAAACGGTCCCTATATATCTTTCGATTTGCACGAAACTTGGTACAGCCTAATCATTTAGGTCTAGAATGATGTCTGCCAAGTTTCGTGAAAATCGGTCCAGATTTAGATATAGCTCCCATATATAGTTTCGTCCGATTTCATGTAAATGGTGCACCAAAGTCCCTATATATCATTCGATTTGCACGAAATTTGGCATAACGTAATGAATTAAGCCTAGAGTGATGTCTGCCAAGTTTCGAGAAAATCGGTTCAGATTTAGATATAGCTCCCATATATAGTTTCGTCCGATTTCATGTAAATTGTGCCCCAAAGTCCCTATATATCTTTCGATTTGCACGAAATTTGGCATAACGTAATGAATTAAGCCTAGAGTGATGTCTGCCAAGTTTCGAGAAAATCGGTTCAGATTTAGATATAGCTCCCATATATAGTTTCGTCCGATTTCATGTAAATGGTGCCCCAAAGTCCCTATATATCTTTCGATTTGCACGAAATTTGGCATAACGTACTGAATTGACCCTAGAATGATGTCTGCCAAGTTTCGTGAAAATCGGTCGTGATTTAGATATAGCTTCCATATATAGTTTCTCCCGATTTTAGGTAAATGGTGCACCAAAGTCCCTATATATCCTTCGATTTGCACGAAATTTGGCATAACGTACTGAAGTGAGCCTAGAGTGATGTCTGCCAAGTTTCAAGAAAATCGGTCCAGATTTCTATATAGCTCCCATATATACTTTCGTCCGATTTCATGTAAATGGTGCGCCAAAGTCCCTATATATCTTTCGATTTGCACGAAATTTGGCATAACGTACTGAATTGAGCCTAGAATGATGTCTGCCAAGTTTTGATAAAATCGGTTCAGATTTAGATATACCTCCCATATATAGTTTCGTCCGATTTCATTTAAATGGTGCCCCAAAGTCCCTATATATCTTTCGATTTGCACGAAATTTGGCATAACGTACTGAATTGAGCCTAGAGTAATGTCTGCAAAGTTTTGATAAAATCGGTTCAGTAGGTCTATTCTGTAACTTTTAACAACATTCGATATTGTTTAATTTTCTTTTGTTATTGTAAAAACAACAAAACAAACAAATGAAATTGTTGTAAAATAAACAATGTCGAATATTGTTAAAAAGTTACAGAATAGGCTTACAGATTTAGATATACCTCCCATATATAGTTTCGTCCGATTTCATTTAAATGGTGCCCCAAAGTCCCTATATATCTTTCGATTTGCACGAAATCGTTCTGAATTAAGCGTAGAGTGATGTCTTCCAAGTTCCGAGAAAATCGGTCCAGATTTAGATATAGCTTCCATATATAGTTTCGTCCGATTTCATGTAAATGATGCACCAAAGTCCCTATATATCTTTCGATTTGCACGACATTTGGCATAACGTACTGAATTGAGCCTAGAATGATGTCTGCCAAGTTTCGTGAAAATCTGTCCTGATTTAGATATAGCTCCCATATATAGTTTCGCCCGATTTTAGGTAAATGGTGCACCAAAGTCCCTATATATCCTTCGATTTGCACGAAATTTGGCATAACGTACTGAATTGAGCCTAGAGTGATGTCTGTCTTGTTTCGTGAAAATCGGTCCAGATTTAGATAGAGCTTCCTTTTATTATAGATTGATTTTAAGTAATTGATGCACCAAGGAACCAATAGGCTGATAGGAACAAAACTTTCTGAAATTAGTATAACCTAACCTGTGACAAGTTTGTTTGAAATCGCCTAATATTTCGATAGAGCTTCCATATATATTTTCGCCCGATTTCAAGTAAATTGGGCATCAAACTCCTCATGTTAGTCAGATTGAAATCAAATTTTGTACAACTTACAAAATTGAGCATAGAATTACGTAGTTGCGTTTTGTAGAAGTACAGACATAGCCCAACGGATGACCTATTTATATTTGTTTGAAGTCGATTTACATACTTTATGGATAGATTTAGGTAGATTCACATTTAGATAAATATCACATATTTTATTTCATCCAATTTCATCTTAATAGTCCTGTTTAATATACCCATAGTGGTGAAGGGTATCATATAGTCGGCCCCGTCCGACTTTACTACTTTCCTTACTGGTTTTATCTGGTTATCTGTCATTCAGTTTTATCCTCTAGGCCAAAACTGAATTAGTTAATTCTCAAATTGGTTACACAATTTCATCTGATCTATGTGGAAATATTCTATTTCCACCATTTATTTGGAAATTGTCCATCCATGCTGAAGATAAATAGTTTAACTCCTTTCGGATGAGGTTGAGTATCCATGGGAAGACCCCACTAAGTTAAATTGATTTTTCATGGATATGAAAATCTCATTCCAGAAGATTTTGATATTGGCTAACTATTTTTTATTTTCCTAATTATTTTTTCAGTTTCCGAACGTGAAGATGATGAAGAAACCTACATCGTCTATGATACAAACAATCGCAATGAGGCCATATTTTTAACTAAATCATCGAACTTCTTAAGAGAACGGGATCCTTTAACAGAAAAGTAAGTAATACCATATAATTGATTATAACAATTATTTTATTATTATTAATTTTATATTTATACTCTACAGAACGAAAACCAAATGGAGTTTAAAAATTCTCGAATCATGTGATCGCCTGAAATCCAATACAATACGTTTAAATTTCGATACCGTCAAGGTGGATAAACAAGAACGTATTTACACGGTGGAAGAGGATTTGTGTCAGGTAAAAAAAATTGTTTTTTTTTCATTTTTTAAGCTCAAATTTAATTTTTGTTTATTTCTAGGAACTGGAGAAAAAACTACGCGACATCTTATCCCAGCGGGATTTAAGTGAAATGAATCAAACCATATACCGTTGTGTAAATTGTAGTTGTCAATTTTCACAAGAAATTAAAAATAAAATAAAAAATATAGGTAGGTATTTTTTGTAATTTAAAAAATAAAAAAAATATTGAACTTTATTTTCTTCAACAGAAATTCGCTGTCCTGATTGCAAATCATGTTTTGTTGCCGAAATCCATGTTATACCCAAATCATTGGAAAAATCCAATATTTTAATGGACAAACTATCGCCTGCCTCAATTGTGGAAGAACTACCCACAAGTATTGTACCCCTTAATGTGCAAGATGTTGCCAATATAGAGGTGGCCGATGATACAAATAGTATTGGTATGTTGGAAGTGTAAAATAGATAAAATTGATTAATTTTTAATATGGAGCATGTTTTTTATAATTTTTTTCTTAAACTAACTGAATATTCTTTATCTCTTGTATGCTGTTTTTTTGTTTTTGTATTCTTTGGTACTTATTTTTTTCTTTTTTCATTTTGTTTATTTTCTTAACAAAACTCAAAATGGTGATCTAAGGTAAAGGCAAAACCAGGCTTTCAACTAATTCACTGCAAGCAACAACACTGAAACAACTTCTAAAAAGTTAATATCACTTTTATTTCTATATAATGCAAAAATAATAACAAAACGAAACCAACAAAAAAGAAGCATTGGCTTGGCATAAAAATTTGTCATTGGCAAAAATTTCTGGATCATGCTTTCGAAGTGCTTATTTGCTTACTTTGTTATTACTAACAACAAACCAATGTTTCTTTTTTTATAGTACCCAAAATGATAAGTCAATACCTTAACAGAAAATACAAATTGGGAAAGGAAAAAAATATGTTAAAAATTAAATAACGGGTTGACTTGTCATTTACCACTATAATATATACAACAAATCACTTTCATTTCCCTCTTTCATTGTTCTACCAGGTTCTGCCACATCACTCAACGAATCATCATGCTCGAAAATTACCACCACCAATTCGGAAAGCTCTTTCAATTCCAATCAATCGTTGGTGGGCAGTAGTAACACAGATCGTGATTTAGATTTTAAAACAAATGGTGAAAGTGACATTGATATTATCTCAAATCCCAGTCAATCGAGTATTGAAGTTTTAGATCAATTTTCAAGTCGTAAAACATCCGAAGAACGGCGTATTTCACACATACCCAATCTGGAGACCATTGATGATCAAAGTTATACGCAGACATTTTTGGAACGTGAATTCGATAATATGATTAATTATGCCCGGCGGGATAAACCTGAAGAATATCCAGTTGAAACAATGACAGCTACCAAAGAAGAAGAAAAACAACAAGAAAATCCGAGCGAAGAAGAAAAAGAAAATATTAAAACGAAAAAAACCTCAACATCAACATTAATACAACAAAATCTAACCGAAAGTAGTTCTTCCGGTTCGGTAACCGATAGCATATGTACAGCTTATGAACAGCAAGGGAAATCAGCGGAATTATCAAATCAATTTTTACAACAGGAGGTGAAAGAGAATAGCTCAAATATTGCCGACACCAAAAAGGAGGAGAGCAATAATGGTGGACTATCGATGTTTGGTGGTATGTATAATTCCATCTTTGATGGAAACCGTATATTATATTATATCCATATGTCTATCATCATCACCTTAAGGATACGCCGGACTCTACTGTGAAATTAATGGTTAGCGAGGTAAGAAATTCCGCAGTCAATAGGCTGTAGTAAAAATATTGGGACTGAGAATTGTAAAACCCTTTTGATATTCGGGTAGGAGAAAGGAATTTTAGAGATATCATCACAGCTATTTTTCTGGTGGGCGAATACCCGGGATTGCAACGGTATTGGCAAGGGATAGACTGCCTCAGTTCAACAGACATATCCATCGTGTTTTCGCGTCTTACGAATGAAGTAGCTTGGTAGAACTTCATTTCATTGGGGCCAACGCAATGAATTCAGATCCCCTAAATATTCCATTTTGTTTAAATATGCGATTCAAAGTTTGACTTTTAAGGCTATATTTTATAATGGCGGACGTTGATGTCTCAAGGCCACACACACCATCAGAAATAGTTTTTTTCTATCGCATTGTTACGGGCCATGTGCACATAATTCGGTGAGGTAAGTGTATGGTGTGTAGTGTGGTGAATGGGGTTCAATGGAAAAGTGTTGTTGGGTGGGCCAGTGCGGGGTCAAGACACCAAGATCCCCATGTATGAATGTTCCCAGATGGTAGTAGAGTGCAGGAAGTTGAAATATTCACCTCAATTCAATGTTTGTGTGAATGGTAGGTGTTTAAATGGGGAATATGAAATTACCAGCTGAGATCAGGGTGTTGGTCCAAGACGAGGCTGCAACTGTCCAAAGGACACGGCAGAACAAGTAAAAACTATGGTACACAGTGAGGTTTCTGAGGTCAAACACATGACAGACAATTGTTCGTAAACAGACGACAGACTCGACGAACCAAAGTGTAACTGTTTCAAATACTACCCCAATCCTGAAGTTAGTTTAGATACAGCAACAGCACAAGTGAAGGATATATTACACAATAAAGTTGCTGGGGTCAAAAATATGATAGATATGCTTGCAAAAGAAAAGAAAGAATTATCCGAGGTTGTCCGTCCGAAATCCATCGAAAAAAGAAGTGAACATTTATGAATGCTCACTCTATCATCCAATATCCAAGTTTAAACCAAACGCCTTCTACTACTCGTATATTAGCACCTGCTGTTAATAATATTGAGCCGTTAAAAATAAGGGTGGATAAATTAGGTCTGAATTTTAGCGGATCCCAGGGACCTCAGGAAAAATGATCTTAGTTACCGTCTAGAATGACGCGAGAACAATACTATATTCCATGGGCAGAAGTTTTAAGAGGTTTTTTTTATTTTTGGTGTCTGGCAAAGCTCGAGAGTGGTATTGGCTATATCGTCGAAATAGCATAATCACTGATTGGGAAACTCTGAAACATGTCCTAATCTGCCAATATCAAACCCCTCAATCAAAATTTGATATGTTGAGAGAATTGTTAGAAAGAAAGCAGCGACATAATGAAGCTGTCAACAATTACTTTCATGAGATGGGAATATTACGTTCGCGCCTGATGCAACCTATAGAAGAATGCGAAATGATAAAAATCTTAAAAGGAAATATTCGCCATAATATAAAACGCCATATTTATCAAATGGTGGAAGTATTGCGTATAGAGTGTATCGAAGCAGAGCGAAATTTTCCTAGGCGTGACGTGAGAGCTATGGTAGCGCCCCAAAGACCCATTTGACAAGTAAATGAATTTTATGACTTAGAATCTGAATCCACTGTTGAATAACCGATAAGGAATTTAGAAGGAAATGTTTCCGTGTCCAAAGACAACAACAAAAACTACAATAATATGTTGGAATTGCCGTCAAAACGGCCATGTCTTTATGGACTGTCCGGAAGAATATAGGAAGCTATTTTGTTACAAGTGTGGTAAACCAGACACTATAACCCCATAATGTCCCATATGTCAACAGGAAAACCAGCGGAGGGGTATAGAAATGACAGGGGAGACACGTCATGTAGAGAACCCTGTAACCAACTATAGTTAAGGTTTTAGTTAGCAGTTTAGATTTAATATGGAAGAATCGAAAAGAAAATTATGAAAAGGTTAGGGAAAGAATTTTCAATTCCGATGCCATTACTGTTCCCAAAAAATGTGAAATTAACACTGAAGTCTAAGAAAAGGCGGCAAGAAAAACGTCATTTGGTGAGCGCTATTTCGAAAGTGTCACAAACGAAAGGTGATCCACGAGTTTTTACACAAATTGATATTCATGGAAAAACAATTGGCGGTCTTTTGGACACAGGGGCATCAGTGAGCCACCTAAGCAAAAACTGTAGGGAGTTCATTGAGGAATTTGAAATCCCGAGTAGGGTTACCACCGCTAGCGGAAACCGATGTCAAATTCTGGGGAAAATAAAAGTAGCGGTGAAATACCAAAATGAAGAAAAATATATGATTTTATTTTTATGTCCCGACCTGGAACAGAGACTTTATTTAGGCATTGATTTTTGGCGAGAGTTTCAATTAGCTCCGGAAGTTGTAGGTGTGGCCGATATAAACGTGGAGAAAATCACTGCGGAAATGTCCGAGAAGGGCGATAATAATAAACTCAACCCCCACAAGTTGTCACCGGAACAATCCAAACGTTTAAACGAGGTTGTAGAAAAGCTTATACTTTCGAGGTTTGGGGTGCACAACTCTAGAGAAACACACAATCAAATTGATTGAAGGGGCGGAGCCAAAGATCGTCACTACCAGGTATTTGATTTTGAGACAAATGAATTAGATAGTGAACAATGTAAGGAACTCCGAGATGTGGTGGGGAAAACAAGGAAAGATCGCCAACTTCTTCGTTAATTGTCAGAAGATGATAGGGATTTCTATGTGATTTCTATTTCACTTTCGGATCATAGGGTGATATTTTTTGATCCGAAAATTAACATTTTTTTGATGCCTTCAGTTCCCAAAAGCAGAATCATCCAAATTAGTGAGGTCGATAACCTTCCCTCAGGGGTGCTATAAAAACCTTTAAGATTATATTTTAGTTTGATGTTGAATATGAATTTACTTCAGGTATTAATGACATGGTGATTAGGTGGAGACTACGCTCTATTTCGAAAAAAAATCTAGTAAGATCTTCTTGCTGAACATTTTCTAAATATTTCTTCATTTTTATAGACTCCATATCACTCCATTAAATGTATTTTCATCAAAATAAATACGTCGCAATCTTGCTGTATAAAATTTAAATTTATTTCCATTTCAGCCTTAATGCAATCGACTAGCATCCTAATGAGCAGTTCCAAAAAACTTCTTGATACTGAAAAATTATCAAATATTAAATCGGGAACGGTATTACCGCCATCAACAACAACAACGACATCATCATCTACAACAACTAAAAATACAGCCACAAATTCAAGAGCTTTCAAATTTAATTATACCGATTTCAATGACATCGATCATCGTTTGAAATTATATTTCTATCAAACGAAATTCGAAGATAAAGATGAACATTTTAAATGGATTGTCAGGGGGCGAATATACAATGAAAATTCGAAACAGCTAAATGATGGCTGTGTTGTAATGTCAACGTGTAAGCTGTATTTAATGCAAATCTATGGTGAAGAAAATGATGATGTTGCCAAATGGTTGAGACCAATTGTCACCTGCACCGTAGATCGTTTGGAGAGTATCCAGTTGTTGCCATGGAAAATTGGTTTGGCATTTCGGCTGCGTGATTGGGGTGGATTTTTGTTGCTGTTGCAGGACATCTTGAGAACGGATTCGTTGATGTTGTTCTTTGCAAGTGAGTTCACTTATTTATTAGAGTAAAATTACAATGGATATTAAATTCTGTTTTTATTTTTTTTCTTTAGATAATTCCCTACCCTCCAACTGTGATCTACATTATCAACCCAATGAGCTAATTGTGAAACGCCTGAATACAGCCGTAATGGATGAACAATTAAATATGTGTTCGGTGCTAAATGGCTGTGAAATTACCTGTGAAAATGCTAAACGTAACTTTAGCATTTGTTGTCTTCTAACGACAGATTCTCGTCTATATTTAAGTTCACCCAAAGTTGGTTGGCTATCGGCCTCAGCTGCCGCCAACGTTCAACATGACACTGATGATGATCTTGAATTGTGTGTCACACAATTCATGTCGAATTTGGTTGAGGTGGAACACTGCAGCGATAATGTATTCATCATTAATTTCCTCGATGAAACTCAAGACAAATGTGAACTCTGGAAGTGTACATTTGAGACGGCAGAAAATGCCAATACCTGTCTAAATGCCATAAATCAATCATGGGAAAAACTTTTCGGTGTACCTCTAATAAGTGCATGAGCATGAGAAATAAACAAATAATCAAAATCATTGCTAAATTAAAACTATTATCTATATAATATATACAAAATTTTGACTTTATATATATAGTATACTAAATTGAAATTTATCTAAAAACAATTTCGTATATTCTCCATTTAGTTAAAATTAAAATCTATATACAAAAAAAATAAATTGATTTAGAATAAACGATTTCATTTAAATTTAGTTGTAATATTTACTGAACCCTAACTTTATTGTTACCAATTTTGTAATGTATTCCTTTGGAACATACATACCCCTAACATATCTATCTTACTCTTTATCTTCAATAAACAACATATGGTCAACGTTTTGATGATATATATTTTTAAAGAAACAAATCAAAACTATTGAATATTAAACGACCATATAATTAATTATGTATATCTGCAATATTAGTTTATATATATTATTGCCAAATTTACTTTATTTTTTTTTTTTGTAATGTAAATAATAAATGAAAAGTTAATGAAAAAACATTTAAAGAACACAATTTTGTTTTGTTTTTTTTTATTGTAACAACATAAATATATTTTATTTTTCTTTACAGTTCACACATTGTATTCTATTTTATTACTATATATTTAGATTTTGAATCCTTATAATTTCTTTATTTATTTATCACTTAGCTGTTCGGCAATCCAATCAATATTTTCCTCATAATACCTTGGATCGGATATGGTTAATGCTGTACGTTTGTAGGTATAATAATAGAAAAATGAAACTGAAAAAAGAGAATTAAGAAGAAGATAACATTATTTATTTGAAATAATTTAATTTGAGAAAAGGAGTAACTGTAAATTGAGCAGTAAACTCTAAATCACATAAAGGTGTAATAATAACTGATTGAGATCCTCTAAAAATAGGAGTAACTGCCAATTGAATATATAACCTATTTAATAACCGTTAAGAATTTATGATTACTAAAATCTCTTTCATTTCTAAATGTGATGAAGCGTCATAAACTGGGTGTCCGGTTGTATTATTTACATCGGCATAGGGTTCGAACAAAGGAAGAGGAGAAGTTGATAGAGAACACTATAAGCTACCCAATGCTGGTATGGGCAGTAATAGCTTTCAACCCTACAAATCCGCAAGTCAAGATGGCATAATACTGGCCATGTTGTAGCACGCCGATGATCGAGTATTGATCACTCTGCAGGGTATTTTAAGGGCTTGTCTGCTTTTATCGTACATATGAAGTCTAGTCATATGCTACCTAAGGAATATAGACCAATTAGCCTTTCTTCCATTCAACCTAATACTCTAGAAAGGTTACTAGACTCTGAAATTAGGAATACTATCAACCCCAATAAAATTGGCAAATCCCAGCATGACTACATCAAAGGCAAATCAGTACATACTACTTTAATGAGCTGGTCGGACATATCGAGAAGAATATGGAGACCTCCCACTATCTTTTCTCTCTTCCATTCTCTTTTCAGGTACCAAGGATGATCACAATGGACAAATGTCTCTGAGTGAACGGTTGCAATCAGCCGTACATCCCTTAGTCGAACCTTCGCGACTTTTTTAAATATCTGTGTTTTATTTAAAATTAAAAATTGCGTTCCAGTTGGAAGGCCCTTTATAGCAAGTGGATCCTGGAAGTAGGATTTCCAAAACCATAGAATGGACTCACTACTCCAAAATAGATCATTAAGTATAATTGTAAGGTCAGATCTCTTATAGCATACTTACAATGTTTCGTTGTATGTTAATGATATGAAATAATTTTATACCCTTCACCACACTGTGGTACAGGGTATTCTGTTTTTGTGAATATGTTTGTAACAGATAAAAGGAAACGAGATAGACTACGGTTCCTCTTGAGAATATGCAGAGAATAACATTCTGAGACAATTTATGCATGTCCGTCTTGATCCGTATTGGATGAAATTTGGAACATCTCATTTATTTGGCCCAAGGACGGGTTATTTGGGATGCCATTTTTATTTTGTTTTTGCAAAATAGTCAGACAGAATTCCAGTTTGTTGTTTATATAAAAAATAACTATTTATTAGTATTTATTATGGCATTGTCCGCCGAGGGGTAAAGCAGGGAAGACTATAGTTTCAGATCTCGCCAATGTTTTTTGTTGGGATATTTTTCGCAGATTCTATTTACAGCTTTCATACCCAAATGTCTCTGTAACAAATCGAAGTACTTGCGTTTTCAGCGATACCACCTCAATGAGAAGTTCGTTGCCTGACTTCGTTGTTAACAAGGCATTTGCAGAACAACTGCAAACGTCACTTTGCGACGAATACGCATAACGTTGTTGTAACGTTTACACAATGGGCTGAGGTGACAGACGTTGGCCGAGTAAGACTCGGGTCGTTTCGGATCGTGAACCCCTCTGTCGTGGAATCAACATAACGTTGTTGTTGGCATTGCTAGTTAAATCAATAAGCCAAACAGTTTGACCGCGCCTACGTCTACAACTTCAGTAGTGTTGGCGGGTTATTTGAGATACCATTTGTACTTTGTTTACGATACTTTACCGACAACGTAAGCAGCGTGACCGCTGACATTTTTCGAAAAGTATCACAGAGAGCATAATTTAAAAAAAAAATGTGGCACAAATCTTTTGAAAAGATGGCACACTATTTTGCTACATATTTATATGGAATGTGATGAAATTTTATATGGACGGTACTTACAAATTTTAAAATTGGTCAAAAGCTAAGTCTCTTGGGCACATATTTCAATATTTGAGACGATTTTTAACAAAATCCACATTATTCTCATCCCAAGTCTGTATCCCATGAAAAGTCATTGTAGGCTCTATTCGATACCCATTGAAAAACTTCGCCTCAATTGGGAAAAAAGTCGGGTCTTAGGCGCACCATCTTGTATACTGAAACTATACCCATATTTTAACCGATCCTCAACAATATGGATAGGCTAAACAAAATTTCAAAAAGTGGCATATTTGGTATCCAAATAAAATGTGGCACAAGAGTGGAAAGGCCGAAAAAAGTGTCATAATTGCTTCATATTTGTAAAGAACATAGAGAAGAATCCTTTAGAATTTAAATCATTGAAAAATATTTGTAATTATATTTTTATGGATTCCGCCCTTAGGAACAAACATTTTTAAGGTTTGCCTATAGTCGGCATATGAGTGAATAATAAGCACCTTTTGATCATTTTGGCTCAAAATTGGAAAAAAATGTTAAATAAGTGTTCTAAATAACGATTCATTTATAAAAAATCAGTTTTGAGTGGTTTTACATAATGGAAGACAAGTTTTTAATCATACATTAATTTAACCTCTGAAATGTCATATTTAGCCATGCCGAGAATTGGATAAATGGTTACCGAAGTCGGCACCAAGTTTTATAATTGTAATATTTTAATACATAAAAATTATTTTATAAAAATTTTTTTATATAACACGGATGGAAACGTCCGATAATAATAATTTATTAATGAAAATAGTTGAAAAAATTAATAAATAAATATTTTTTGTTTAAATTAAATACGAAATGCCGACTATTGGAACATGACTTGCCGAAAATTGGAATAAAGTGCCGACTATTGGCACAAATTAATTAAACATATTTTTATTGCATTGGGGAGTAAACAAAATTTGGATACATATGAACCTAAATACAATATAGTTAAAAAAATGCAGTCGGGATGGTGAAATGTTTAAAATTCGAAAATTCTTAAAGTGCCGGATTGTTGGTGCTCTTACCCTATTGGTAGGCTGGATGAGTGAAAATGTGAATTCTATTGTGTCTAAGGTTAACTTTACATTGGGAACCCCCCCCCCCCATTCTCGATTTTATTTTTTCAAGATTTTCAATGGGCTGGTAAATCAATACCAATGCTTGTTAAGGTTTGTAACTTTGCACATATATAATTGAAGATTTAAAAGAGAAGAAAAATAATTTACAAAAAAATTTTGTTATTGTTTTGTTGTTGTTTTTTGTAATTAAAGAAAAGTCCTTATTTTTGATGGCGGGCATGATAACTCCTCACTGGAACATCGGAATCCGAAAATTCCAACGGTGTTAGAAAGAGTACATGTCTGACTCTCGTGTGAACTAGGATTATTGACTTCGCTCTAAAATTAAGAAAATGGTGGCCCTTTGAAAAAATATTTTTGAAAAATCGCGGATTTTTTACCAAAAACCAAGTTAAAAAATAAAAGATCTTCACAAGCATTGGCTTTATCCTAGTTCATTGAGAGCTATACACTCCCAGAGAAACGTTGCAAAATTTGGAACCGATCGGATTATTAGTTTTTGAAAATTATCGTGCCCGCCATTCGCAAAAAAATGTTTAGAGAAAAACGCGTTTAAAGTTTGAGAAGCCCTTCAGCCAAAACTTGATGCTGACACAATAAATCGGATATATCTTCAACAGTTCTTGGGATTTTCACTTGAAATTTTGTAGAGACATTCTTTAATCAGTGTAGATTCGAATTATATCAACAAAAATTTTGACCCCGAGAATGGGGGGGGTCCCCTTAAGAAAGTTATACACATTAAACATTGTTTTGCCACGTCTTATTAAGATATGTCTTGTGCATGCTCTAATAATGCCAATATTTGTATATGACCTTGAAGTCGTCAGTGGTAGTTGTGGTTTTGTGATGCGTAGATTGCGTTTTTTTAAGGGTAATGCGTTATGTGTTTTCTGTACGTTGGCATCAGCATATTTCCTTTCATGTAGAACATTTTCTTGGTACTAGTTTTAAGAATTATGTCAATATACAAAATTTTATTATTTTTATAAGATTTTTAAACATCAATCAACACGCAACACACAAATTATTTTGCCAAAATTAACCTCTATTTTGGAAAGGTCATTTTTGTAAGAATTACTCGAATGTTTAATAATCTACCATCGTATCTTAAGGCGTTCAATTTTTCTCCGTTATATGTCCGATGTCATTATATCTAAATTTTAGTTAATTTTATTTATTTTTTTTTACATAACTGGGGTTACATGAATGGTTTTTAGTTTTCTGGTGTTAGTCGGTTAACTTATAGAAAAAGTTCAATTTCATGTCAATGTTCCTTCGAAAAGCCGACGTCTTTTAGGATACATATGTAGAATATACCCAAAGTGGTTGGCAGAGTCCGACTTTACTACTTTGCTTACTGTTTTTTTTTATACCCTTCACCACAGTGTGGTACAGCTGAGTCGATTTATGCATGTCCGTCTGTCTGTGCGTCCGTCCATGTATTTTTGTTAACAAAGTACAGGTCGCTTTTACGATCCGATTTGCATGAAATTTGGCACAGGTCACTTAATTGGCCCAAGGACGAACCCTATTGAAAATGGGAAAAATCGGTTCAGATTTAGATATAGCTCCCATATATATTTTCGTCCGATTTAAGGTAAATGGTGTACCAAAGTCCCTATATGTTTTTCGATTTGCACGAAATTTTGCATAGAGTACTGAATTAGGTCCAGAATGATGTGTGCCAAGTTTCGAGAAAATTGGGTCAGATTTAGATATAGCTCCCATATATATTTTCGTCCGATCTAAGGTAAATGGCGCTCCAAAGTGCCTATATGTCTTTCGATTTGCACGAAATTTGGCATAGGTTACTGAATTAGGTCCAGAATGATGCGTGCTAAGTTTCGTGAAAATCGGTTCAGATTTAGATATAGCTTCAAAATATATTTTCAACCGATTTAATTTAGATTGCACACAATTTTGTACAATGTACTGTTACTATAACTTTTCGTGTGTCAAGTTATCTTGAAATTGGTTCAGATTTACATATACCTTCTATATATATTTTCGTCCGATTTTAAGTAAATGATACACTAAAGGTCCATACAGACCCATACACGTACAGAAATTAATAAAAATTAATATCTAGCAAGTTTCCTTGAAATCGGTTCAGATTAGCTTCAATATATAGAATATCCCCAAAGTGGTGAAGGGTATCATATAGTCGGCCTAGTCCGACTTTACTAATTTTCTTACTGTTTTTTTTTTTATAATTCTTAAGAAATGATCATGCCAATTGTTCTTACTATTATGTGTCAATTTTATGCTATAACATCTTTCGAGAACGTTGTAAAATTGGCGAGAATGTTGGAATTGGCGAATTTATTGACTTCCACAGTATTTTAGTTTAATAAGTAGAAATATGATTATAAGTCCTTTTACCGGTATATTCTCTGGCAGTAGGCTATATCAGGCCCGTGAACTTGTATTTCATAACGTATATAATATTATTTTTTGTTTTGTGTTATACCACAAATTATTACGAAGTGTATTTTTATACCCTCCACCATATTATGGAGGGTATATTAGTTTTGTTTTTCCGTTTGTAACGCATCGAAATAATCATTTCCGACCCTATAAAGTATATATATTCATGATCAGCGTAAAATTCTATGACGATCTAAGCATGTCCGTCTGTCCGTCTGTCTGTCTGTCTGTTGTAATCACTCTAGCGTCTAAACGAATGGAGATAGAGCGCCAAAATTTTGCATAGAGTCGTCTTTTGTCTGCAGGCAGGTCAAGTTCGAAGATGGGATATATCGGTCCACGTTTATGCATGGCTCCCATATAAGGGTACCCCCCAATTTTCCGTATTTTGGGGTTCTTGAACGCGTTTTTCAACCGAATTCGCTGAAATTTGGTATATTTAGTCGCTAATGGGTTCTTAATTTCTCCACAAAAAATTATTCATATAGGTCCATTTTTTCTGGTAGCCCCCACATAACGGTACCCTCTAATTTTCAGTATTTTGGGGGTTTTGATCGTAGTTTTCAACCGAATTGGCTGTAATTTAGTACTTTGAGTTCTTATTGGGTAGCAAATCTCTCCACTAAAAAATATAAACATAGGTCCATTTTTTCTGGTAGTCCCCATATAAGGGTACCCCCAAATGTCGGTATTTTGGGGTTCTTGAGCGAGTTTTTCAAGCGAATTCGCTGAAATTTGGTACATTTGGTTCTTATTGGGTTCCAAATATCTCCACCAAAAATTATAAATATAGGTCAAATTTTTCTGGTAGTCCCCATATAAGGGTACCCCCCAAATGTCGGTATTTTGGGGTTCTTGAGCGAGTTTTTCAAGCGAATTCGCTGAAATTTTGTATTTTGTAGTCGTATATGGTACAAAATTTCCCTACAAAAAACTAATAATATGCACCCGCTTTTTGGGGTAGTCCCCATGTAACCCCCTTTTTTATATTGAAATAGTTATGCAATTTGTTCTGCGTTTTGGGTTTGGTTCTAAGACTCTGTTGTAATCATATCACCAGCGGAGGATATTGAGATAAAAAACTAGAACGTAAGGTTCCATAATGAGCTATATATGAACTATAACCCGTATTTAGACCTAGCCCCTGTATGGGAGGTACCAGAAGGAGTGGACCGATATTCCCCATCTTCGAACTTGAACTATGTTTGAAAGAAATAATAAGATGGCCAAAGTTTGGATGAAATCAAAATTTTCTGAAACAAATTTGGTCCAAGGAAACATGGGGTCTAGAACCATTTTAACCGTGTCAAAGTGTATACACCCTCATTATCCGTAAAGATGTGGGTATAATTGTCCATTAAAAATTTCTGAAATTTGTTTTATAGTTTACATTTTGGTTTACATAACCGGTTTGTGGAAATTTCGATATAGGTCCACTTTTTGGTAATTTTCCTATATTTTCATTTCAAGTACCTGTCAGTATATCTATGGTGGAGGGTATCCAAAGTTCGGCCCGGCCGAACTTAACGCTTTTTCACTTGTTTTTTTTTTTTTGCTATTCCAATTGGGGGGCTTTTGCAGGTCAAATTTTATATAACACACTTGGTTTTATCAATAAATAGCTTACCTGTTCTTTGAACAAATGATAAAGCCTTCATGGTTGATGACCAATCGGACATGGGATACCACAAGGCATGATAGACGAACCAAAAGTGTTGTGAAACCGACAATAAAAAGTACAATAGAATTGTAAACAAGAAGAATTTACAATTTCGAAGAATGACATGAGTGGCTCCAACCTAGAATTGAAATGCCGAAATAAATAAAATTACAACAATCAACAGCAAAAGATTACATACCTCATAGACACAAGTGGCATGGACAGCAAAGGTAAAGAATAAATATTCGCATATTATAAATAAATCTTTTGTCCTGAAAATATAAAAACAATCAATATAAAATACCTGCCTTAGATTTCCGACGCAAAAACCCTCTTTACTTACACAAACAACAGAATAGTTAATTGCAACTTTTGCGGCAACAACAAATGGGCGAAGGTATTAAAAAATAAGTCAGCTATTAGAAGGGAAAATTGTAAACCCAAAAGGATACGATAACGCGTCAATGTTAATTTCATATTGTTCTGTTTGTCTTTTAATTTAACACAAAATTTAATGAAATTTTATTATTGTCTCGTTTTTGTGTGACGTCAATGTTATGAACAAATATTACCACACACTTGACATTTTATTTACTTGCAAGATTTGTGAAGTGAAGTATGAAAGGGATGTTTTGTTTTTGTCACAAAAAGGATATTTTAAACGCATGCGTATTAGGGGACCCGGATAAGGTAACCACGGTTTAATTTTTTAAAAATGAATACAAAAGAAAAAATTGCTTTGAATTGTGTTCATCATTTCGCAAGTGAAAACCTGTGAGGAATGTTTAAATGTTTATATACGAAAATATATAGAGATTATATCTACATACGAACCTATTTCAATAAAAGTCTAATTACTAGGGACAATTTGGTACGTTGTGCACAATTTCATCGCAATCGGAGAAGTGTTGGCTATTTAGATCTAATCGGATGCAAATATTGGACCCTCTTGTCTGAGCAAAATAGTTCACAACGATCGAATCGCTGTTCTGTCAACATATACAGATGGATCGAAGATAAATGATGTAATTCGAACACTGTGAGGAACCAGATGCAAAAAACACATATGAACTTAACTAATACGGTAGCAAAAATCTTAGCGAAGAACTTAGTAAAATAATACTAAATAATTATAATGAAATTTTAGGATATTTGAAAATGTTTAATTATATGAATAGAATTTTGTTTTAGGCTTACATTTTTAGAATGTAACATATAGATATAACATAGCAGTCATGAAATGGCTGATGAGCTTGCTCAGAGGAGTAATAGTCTTCCGATGTGCAGATTGAGAAGTCTGTTAGAACACCTTACATTGGCAAAATCCGCTTGATCTGCTACAGAATGCCAGGTATTTGATGGTTTGAGGAACTTATGTCAACCTCAAAATGCATCTGTTCCGAGAAGAAAAGCATCACAATAGCTCTGTCTGTTTACTCGATATTTGGTAACAATTGTTACCAAATGTTACTAAATGTTGTCTGTTTACCCAAAAATGCAGTAAAAGAGAGTCAAGTGAGAGAGCAAGTCTGACAGTTCAACAACTACAAATTTACTGGAGTTTACTGAAAGAATTTTATTCAGTAAGATTTTGCATACTCAGCCATTTTATGACCAAACACAAACATTAAGTGTGTCTGGTTACTTTTCCAGTAACATTTATTCAGTAAGTTCTAGTTCAGAGAGTAAGCTTTTCTTACTCTCTTTTGCGATAATACTGAAAAAAGTAAACAGACAACATTTAGTAAGATTTAGCAAATAAACAGCTGATTCAAGAAAACATTTGATTTGCGCCAAAATAAACAACAAAAAAAGGACGAACACAATTATTTGTATTGCATTTAATATTAAAAATAAAATGAATAATAAAAGAAAAATTGATCTGTTATGTTCCCCGGGAACATTTAAACTCCCTGCATCAATATATTGCCCTCTATCTGGAACTTGCCTAAAAATATATAAGGAATTAGTTTGTAATTTAATGAAACTTTGCATTACTTACGAATTTTCTTCCATTTTCTGTAATTAACTTCAAATTGAACTTTGAAAATTAAAAAAAAATGTTTTAAATAATAGGTTCGTTCGTTTACTCAATAATTTGTACGAATTTGTACAAATTATTACAAAATGTTGTTCGTTTACCCAAAATTCCCGTAAAAGAGAGTGAATTGAGAGAGCAGATTTGACAGTTGTGTTACTGAGTATTTGCAAATTCTTACAAGGAAAATTTACTCAGTAAGAATTTTCTTGTACCATCAGCTGATATTTAATCAGCTGTTTTGTTATGTTTTGTAAACAAACAAAAAAATGTTCTCAAGAAAATTGATTGTTTTGTGAATTCGAATCTGTAAACATCAATCAACATCAATATATTTCCATATAAATAGTTAAAACCTACCGGTCACAACCCTTTTAAATGTTTGTGGGGAACAAACAACATCAATTTTCCGCTTGTTATCCATTTTTCTAATAAAAATCCTGTTTTTTAGTTTGCGCCAATTTGTTTGTTGTTTTAATCAGCTGTGTCGAAACAATCTTTTTACTGGATGTTGTTCGTTTACTTTTTGCAGTTTTCTCTCTTGAAAAGGAAAAATTCGTATTTACTCTCTGCAAATTCTTACTGAGTAAATATTACTGAGAAAGTAAACGAACGAACCTAATTTTTGTGTTTGGTCAGAAAACAGCTGATCAGAAAATGGCTGAGTTGCAAAATCTTACTGAATAAAATTCTTTCAGTAAACTCCAGCAACTTTGTTGTTGTTCAACTGTCAAACTTGCTCTCTCACTTGACTCTCTTTTACTGCATTTTTGTGTAAACAGACAACATTTAGTAACATTAGGTAACAATTGTTACCAAATATCGAGTTAACAGACAGAGCTATTATTCAAAACATTTTTTAATTTGCAAAGTTCAATTTTAAGTTAAATTGTATAAAAATTACAGAAAATTCAAAGCTTCATTAAATTAGAAACTAATTCCTTATATATTTTTAGGTAAGTTCCAGATAGAGGGCAATGTATTGATGCAGGAAGCTTAAATGTTCCTGGGGAACATACCAAACCAATTTTTCTTTTATTGTTCATTTTTTTTTTTTAAATATTAAACGGCATATACATTAGAACTTTTGTACCGGGTTAACCTACTTTATGAGGATTTATTTCACATATATGCAAAGTAATTGACAATTGAAACCCACTGGGTTAACGAAATCCGGTTAAATGTAAACGTACTATTAAATGCAATACAAATAATTGTGTTTGTCCTTTGTTTGTTTATTTTGGCGCAAATCAAATGCTTTCTTGAATCAGATGTTTATTTGCTAAATCTTACTAAATGTTGTCTGTTTACTTTTCTCAGTATTATCGCAAAAGAGAGTAAAAAGGGCTTAAACGGCATTTACATTAGAACTTTTTTACCAGGTTAACCTACTTTATGAGGATTTATTTGGCATGTATACAATGGAATTGATAATTGAAACCGACTGGGTTAACGAAATCCGGTATAATGTAAACGTACTATTACTCTCTGGACTAGAACTTACTGAATAAATGTTACTGGAAAAGTAACCAGACAAACCTAATATTGGACTTCTTATACTTCTAGGAATTCTGTGTTCTTAGTGAAGTCCCTTACACTTTTCCATTCACACCCCCCATAGGTCGGTTAGGTCATGGATAGTGTTATTTCCCAAGCATTTGCAGTTTCATAGGAAATGTTCCAGCGTTTCGTTGTCTTCCTCATACGCTCTACACCAGCTGCAGTTATAGAATTAACTTGCTTGTTTACTATCCGTCATTATATGTATTGTATCCTGACAGAGTCCAAACTTAACCAGTTTAAGCATATCCGCATGTAGGACCGTTATCTTATCTTGCATGCGAAGTGAAATTTTTGTTCTCGTCCCAGTTCCGATTTTCTAACTAGCCGGGAGCCATTTGTGTAACAACAGTTGCCAGAGGGCATTTGTGCAAGTGCTCCGACTCAAAACTTCTGATTGAGGATCTGATATCAATTGGGTATATATACAATATAGCTTCTCCGACATCAGTCAATGGATTCTCGAGACAGTCTCTTTCAACGATGGGTTTGGCTCAGCTTCCTCGTTTTAACAGCTGACACAGCCTGCTCTTCGGAAACCTAATCCCCCTCACCGCTTCCGAGAAAATGGAGGTAATTATTTGGATGTTATTATTTCGCTTTTGTTCCTCCGGTTTAGTTTTGACAGTTTTCGCCTCTATGCTCCAGATAATTGATTCATCCTTGTTGTGAGCTTAGCTATATCCGTACTTACTTCCTGTACCATCTTATCATCACACCTCCGGCATTCTTAGATGGTTATGTTTGTCTTACTTTCGTGTTCAGACTCGGTATGTGATTTAGTTTCTAGTTTTAGCTCGCGGCTTTGCCGATATATTTAGCTATACCAAAACGTAAACAGATACATCGGATTATAAATTTTAAAAAAACCTTCGAGTAGTAGCAATGTATGATCAAAGTATACGGACATGTTTAGAAAAGTACCTGCGTATAATGACTATAGGTTAATTGTATAATTGTACCGGGCGATTGTTGTAAACGATAATCTACACCAAATACAAATTTCAGCAATTTTTAATGGAGACTGGTTTTAAATCTGGAGTGATTACAACAGACAGGCGTGAAGAAGAACAAAAATCGTCATAGAATTTTATTCTGCTCCC